TTCTTCCCAAAACGGAACTCTCGCTGGACAGCTACTTGAGTTGTACCATCATGTTTCCTTCGACTCCTTTCGAGAAGACACATGTTTTCCTGGATTCCCTCAAGGAGTTGCGTCCTTGCACGTATGCATCGGCCCGTCGGTCATTCGAAGGCCAAAAACAAGCAAAGTCAGATGCGCGCGGAAAACCCGAGAAGCACCTCACTGCTCGCCGTCCTCCTCCTCATCGAACTCGCCCTCCTCCTCCGCAGTGGCATCCTGGTACTGCTGGTACTCCGAGACAAGGTCGTTCATGTTGCTCTCCGCCTCGGTGAACTCCATCTCGTCCATGCCCTCGCCGGTGTACCAGTGCAGGAAGGCCTTGCGCCGGAACATCGCCGTGAAATACTCTGCTACGCGCTTAAACATTTCCTGAATGGCTGTTGAATTACCTGCGAAAGCAACTGCCATCTTCAGGCCCTTTGGAGGTATGTCGCACACAGAAGCCTTGATGTTGTTAGGAATCCACTCCACAAAATATGAAGAGTTTTTGTTCTGCACATTAAGCATCTGTTCGTCGACCTCCTTAGTGGACATGCGACCGCGGAACAGGGCCGCCGCGGTCAGGTAGCGGCCATGGCGAGGGTCAGCTGCACACATCATGTTTTTGGCATCGAACATTTGTTGCGTGAGCTCCGGCACGGTCAGCGCGCGGTACTGCTGGGAGCCACGGGACGTGAGGGGCGCGAAACCAGTCATGAAAAAGTGCAAACGCGGGAATGGTATCAGGTTCACAGCAATCTTGCGCAGGTCGCAGTTGAGCTGCCCCGGGAAGCGCAAGCAAGTAGTGACACCACTGATCGCTGCACTCACCAAGTGGTTCAAATCCCCATACGTGGGCGTGGTCAGCTTCAGCGTACGGAAACATATGTCATAAAGGGCCTCGTTGTCAAGCAAGAAGCACTCGTCGGCATTCTCCACCAACTGGTGGAAGGACAATACCGCATTATATGGTTCCACGACTGTGTCGCTAACCTTTGGGGACGGAATGATACTGAACGTCTCCATGATCCTGTCGGGATATTCCTCTCTCACCTTGGAAATGAGCAACGTCCCCATGCCAGCTCCGGTACCGCCTCCGAGTGAGTGACACATTTGAAACCCTTGAAGGCAATCACATCCCTCTGCCTCCTTGCGGACCACATCCAACACGCTGTCGATCAATTCCGCGCCCTCCGTATAATGACCTTTTGCCCAATTATTCCCTGCGCCAGTCTGACCAAATCCGCCACCGCACTTGCAGCGATTGGTGTGTGTCGGGCCTTCGTTGTTCGATACTTTTGCGTCTTGCAAAACAAAAACCATGGCCCCCGACGCACTCAGCCCAACACGAAATCAGTTTCTTTTTCCACGTCCCTGTGGCCATGGCCTTCCCAGAAGAAAAGTGTTCCAAAAGCGGGGGTGCGGCTACTTAGGCACGCAGAATGGATCCCCCCGCCCCGTGGCACCAGCCTGGTCGTCCCGCACTTCTCATAATTTCTCCGATGAACTGCTACCCCAGAAGACTCATACACTTCCAGGCGGCAAGGGGGAATGCATCACCTCGCAGGTAGCTATCTTTGCACATGTTTCAAACGGGGTCGTCCTGCAAAGTTCTCGAAATAAAACTGGTAGGCTTATGTGTAAGCTTTGTGCTTCTGAGATAAACACACCAGGAATGTATGCGTCGGCGCGCGCACCACTGGTTTGTCCTTTAGCCTGTGCGAGCTATGAAAGATATATTGACCAGGGTATGTGAAGTCGTAGTTGGGATGGTACAAGCAGAAAAATAGTACTCGGAGTAGACATACGAGGAAGATGCAAATAGTTATGACAGTATGAGCAGTCGTCCTCGCAGTGGTAGTGGTAGCGATAATGGTAAAACTAATAATAGTAATAATAGAAATAGTAATAGTAGTAGTAGTAGTAATAATAATAATAGTCACCGTAGTCGTAGTCGTAGTAATAGTAGTATCAGTAGCATTAGTGGTCGTACTGGTCGTATAAGTAGTAGTTGCTGTACTAGTATTAGTTGTGGTAGTAGTCGTAGTAGAAGTAGTAGTGCTCGTAGTCGTAGTCGTAGTAGTAGTAGTAGTAGTAGTAGTAGTAGTAGTAGTAGGAATAGTCGTCGTTGTAGTACGGGTAGCAGTCGGAATAATAGTAGTAGTAAAATAATAGTATATTATACAGGGGGTGAAAGTACCAGTAAGAGTACTAGTAGCAGTAGTTGTTGCCGTAGTAGTAGCAATCCGAACAACAATAAGAATAGTAGTCGCTGTAGTAGTAGTCGTACTAGTCGGAGCCATCGTCGTCGTCGAAGTGATCGTGCTATGTGGTGGTAGTGGAAACTGTTGCCCTGTTCATGATCGTGGTGGTACCCGTAGTACTCATGGTGGTCGTCATCTTCGTAAGAACCGTAACAGTGTTATCTACACTAGTAGTAGTAGAAAAGAAGTGGTAGTGGTCGTAGAGATAGAAGTAGTAGTGGTGAACAGTATTAACTATTAGTGGTAATAATAATACTAGTTGTAGTGGTGGAAGTAGTAGTATGAGTTGTACCAGTAGTACTAGTACTATTCGCCGTAGCCGTATAAATCGAAGAAGTAGATAAAGTAGCAGTAATAGTCGTCATCGTTTTCGCCGTCGTCGAAGTCTTAGGAGTAGTGGTCGTCGCGTCCTAGTCGCAGTCGTAGTCGTAGTCGTAGTAGTAGCAGTAGTAGTAGTGGCAACAGGAGTAGTAGTACGAGCAATAGGAAAAGACATGAAACATAATAATGAAAGTAGTAGTAGTAGTAGTAGTAGTGGTAATACTATGAGTACCTGTCGTCGTAGTAGTAGCAGTAATACGAAGAGCAGTAGTAGTAGTAGTAGTAGTAGCAGCACCAATAGTTGTCGTTGTAGTAGTAGTAGTAGCAGCAGCAGCAGCATTGGTAGTGGTAGCTGTAATAGTAGGGGTCGTCGTCGTCATCGTCGCCGTCAAAGTCATCGTTATATGTGGTAGTAAATGGTAGCCCTAAATATGATCGTGGTAGTACAAGGATTACTCATGGTGGTCGTCGTATTTGGAATAATCGTAACAGTAGTAAACACAGTAGTAGCAGTAGAAAGAAAAGAAGTAGTAGTCGTAGTAGTCGTAGCAGTAGAGGCAGTAGAAGTAGTACGTAGTAGTGGTAGCCGTAGTAGTAGTAGTAGTAGTAGTAGTAGTAGTAGTAGCAGTAGTAGTAGTAGTAGTAGTAGTAGTAGTGGTGAAAGTTAAAGTATGAGAAGTCGTAGTAGTAGTAGTAGTAGTAGTAGTAGTATTATACACGTACAAATTAAAACTATTATTAGTCGTAGTGGTACGAATCGAAGGAGGAGTAAGAGTAGTAGGAGTAGTAGTCGTAGTCGTAGTAGTAGTAGTCGTAGTCGTAGTAGTGGAAGTAGTAATAGCAGTAGTCGCAGTAGTAGTAGTAGTAGTAGTAGTAGTAGTAATAGTAATAGTAGTAGTAGTAGTAGTAGTAGTAGTAGTAGGTGGTGGTGGTGGTAGTAGTAGTCGTAGTAGTCGTCGTAGTAGTAGTAGTAGCAGCAGTAGTAGTAGTAGTTGTAGTCGTAGTAGTAGTAGTAGTAGTAGTAGTAGTAGTATACACGTAAGAATAAAACTATTATTAGTCGTAGTCGTACAAATCCAAGGAGGAGTAAGAGTAGTAGGAGTAGTAGTCGTAGTCGTAGTAGTAGTAGTCGTAGTCGTAGTAGTGGAAGTAGTAATAGCAGTAGTAGCAGTAGTAGTAGTAGTAGTAGTAGTAGTAGTAGTCGTAGTAGTAGTAGTAGTAGTAGTAGTAGGTGGTGGTGGTAGTAGTAGTAGTAGTAGTCGTAGTAGTAGTAGTAGTAGTAGTAGTCGTAGTAGTAGTAGTAGTAGTAGCAGCAGCAGCAGTAGTAGTAGTAGTAGTAGTAGTAGTTAGTAGTAGTAGTAATAGTTGTAGTAGTAGTAGTAGTAGTAGTAGTAGTAGTCGTAGTAGTAGTAGTAGTAGTAGTAGTAGTAGTAGTGGTAGTGGTAGTAGTAGTAGTAGTAGTAGTAGTAGTAGTAGTAGTAGTAGTAGTAGTAGTAGTAGTAGTAGTAGTAGTAGTAGTAGTACCCCGAGAGGCCCCCAAGGGATCCCAACCAACATCCAACAGGCTTTATGCTCTCAACCCAAGCACGGTGGCGGGATGGGCCGAAGGCCATGAGATCCGCCGCCCCCTGTGGTCTTGCCACAGGGGTGCACGGCGTGCTGGATGATTCAGTTTTGGTTTTGGTTCTTTTTCTAAAAGAACTCCCCAGTGGGCTTCGGCCCGTCCCGCCGGCCACCCGTAAATTTCCCAAAATGCGTCTGTCAATGCCTTTGTTGCCCCAACTTGGCCCAAGATGGCCTCCAAGACGGCCAAGATGGCCCAAGATGGCCTCCAAGATGCCTCCAAGACGGCCAAGATGGCCTCCAAGACGGGTAAGATGGCTCCAAGATGCCTCCAAGACGGCCCAAGATGCCCTCCAAGACGGCCAAGATGGCCCCAAGATGCCTCCAAGATGGCCCAAGAGGCCTCCAAGACGTTCTCCAGGAGAGCCCGAAGAGGCCAAAATCATTGGTTTTCCTTAGGTTTTTGAAGGTTTTTTGCGTTTTCTTCTTTTCGGCCTTCCGACGGCCCAAGAGGCCCCCAAGATCGCCCAAGAGGCCTCCAAGAAGGCCCTATGACGGCCCAAGGGCCCCCCAAGACGGCCCCAAGAGCGCCCCAAGACGGCCCAAGAGGCCTCCAAGACGCCCAACATGGCCTCCAAGACGGCCCTGAAGCGCCCCAAGAGGGCCCCAAGACGGCCCAGAGAGGCCCCCAAGACGGCTCCAGACGGCGTCAGACGGACCAGGAACGCCCTAAGACGGCCAAAGAGACCCCCAGGAAGCCCCCAAAGGCCCCCAAGAGGCCCAAGGAGGCCCCCAAGATGCCTCCAAGAGGCCTCGAAGAGGCCCCCAAGAAGCCCCAACAGACCCCAAGGGTGCCCCAAGAGACTCCTAACAACCCTCATCCTCCTACTCTATTTCTTCCTCTTCCTCTTCCTGTTCATAATCATTCTCTCCCATGTGTTCCCCGAAAGCTTTCCAAACCGACTCGGGGAACTCATGGTCCGATAGCTTGGCCAAGCTCTAGTCCAACTTTCGGCCACATCGGCGTTTCCAAAAAGGCAGGGGGCGGCGGTGATTCGCCGTAGGCGTCTTCGATCCGCCGCCCCCTGTGGTCTTGCCACAGGGGTGCACGGCGTGCTGGATGATTCAGGTTTTGGTTTTGGTTCTTTTTCTAAAAGAACTCCCCAATGGGCTTCGGCCCGTCCCGCCGGCCACCCGCAAGTTTCCCAAAATCCGTCTGTCAATGCCTTTGTTGCCCCAACTTGGCCCAAGATGGCCTCCAAGACGGCCAAGATGGCCCAAGATGGCCTCCAAGATGCCTCCAAGACGGCCAAGATGGCCTCCAAGACGGGTAAGATGGCTCCAAGATGCCTCCAAGACGGCCCAAGATGCCCTCCAAGACGGCCAAGATGGCCCCAAGATGCCTCCAAGATGGCCCAAGAGGCCTCCAAGACGTTCTCCAGGAGAGCCCGAAGAGGCCAAAATCATTGGTTTTCCTTAGGTTTTTGAAGGTTTTTTGCGTTTTCTTCTTTTCGGCCTTCCGACGGCCCAAGAGGCCCCCAAGATCGCCCAAGAGGCCTCCAAGAAGGCCCTATGACGGCCCAAGGGCCCCCCAAGACGGCCCCAAGAGCGCCCCAAGACGGCCCAAGAGGCCTCCAAGACGCCCAACATGGCCTCCAAGACGGCCCTGAAGCGCCCCAAGAGGGCCCCAAGACGGCCCAGAGAGGCCCCCAAGACGGCTCCAGACGGCGTCAGACGGACCAGGAACGCCCTAAGACGGCCAAAGAGACCCCCAGGAAGCCCCCAAAGGCCCCCAAGAGGCCCAAGGAGGCCCCCAAGATGCCTCCAAGAGGCCTCGAAGAGGCCCCCAAGAAGCCCCCAACAGACCCCAAGGGTGCCCCAAGAGACTCCTAACAACCCTCATCCTCCTACTCTATTTCTTCCTCTTCCTCTTCCTGTTCATAATCATTCTCTCCCATGTGTTCCCCGAAAGCTTTCCAAACCGACTCGGGGAACTCATGGTCCGATAGCTTGGCCAAGCTCTAGTCCAACTTTCGGCCACATCGGCGTTTCCAAAAAGGCAGGGGGCGGCGGTGATTCGCCGTAGGCGTCTTCGATCCGCCGCCCCCTGTCGATTCATCGCAGGGGTGCCTGGCGTGCCGAACTATATGGGTTTGGGTTTTGGTTCTTTTTCCAAAAGAACTCCCCCTGGGGCTTCGGCCCGTCCCGCCGGCCACCTGGAAGGATGCCGAAAATTTGCCCGGACCCCGTTGCAAAGGGTTTTTCCGTTCCAGACGGTCCCAAAAATCGTCCAAGATGGCCTCCAAGACGCCTCCAAGAGGGCCAAGATGGCCTCCAAGACGGCTGAGATGGCCCCAAGATGCCTCCAAGACGGTCCAAGGTGCACCCAAGACGCCCTAAGATGGCCTCAAGATGGCCCAAAACGACCCAAGAGGTTCCCAAGAGGCGTCCAAGACGGCCCAGGAGGCCTCCAAGAGGTCCTCCAGGAAGGCCCGAAGAGGCCAAAATCAGTGATTGTCGTTAGGTTTTTGAAGGATTTTGGAATTTGCGCCTTTTCGGCTTTCCGACGGCCCAAGACGGCCCAAGAGGCCCCCAAGGTCGCCCCAAGATCGCCCAAGAGGCCTCCAAGATGGCCCCATGACGGCCCAAGAGGCCCCCAAGACGGCCCCAAGAGGGCCCCAAAGAGGGCCCCAAAAGGGGCCAAGAGGCATCCAAGACGCCCAAGATGGCCTCTAAGACGGCCCCGAAGCGCCCCAAGAGGGCCCCAAGTCGGCCAAGGGAGGCCCCCAAGACGACTCCTGACGGCGTCAGACGTGCCAGGAGCCCACCAAGACGGCCGAAGACGGCCTTAAGATGGCCCAAGACGGCCCAAGAGGCCTCCAAGAGGGCCTCCAGGAAGGCCCGAAAAGGCCAAAATCATTTATTTCCCTAAGAGTCTTTGAAGGATTGTGGCATTTGTTTTTTTTCGGCCTTCCGACGACCCGAGACGGCCCAAGTGCCCCCAAAGATCGCCCAAGACGGCCCCAAGAGGCCCCCAAGACGGCCCAAGAGGCCTCCAAAACGCTCAAGACGGCCTCCAAGACGGCCCAAGAGCCCTCCAAGACGTCCTCCAAGAAGGCCCGAAAGGGTCAAAATGGCCTCCAGACGGCCAAGATGACCTTCAATATGCTCACGTGTTCCCCGAAGGCTTTCCAAACCGATTCGGGGAACACATGGTCCGATAGCCTGGCAGATCTGGCCTCAACCTTCGGCCAAATAGGCGCTTCAAAAAAAAGGCAGGGGGCGGCGGTGATTCGCCGCAGGCGTCTTCGATACGCCGCCCCCTGTCGATTCATCGCAGGGGTGCCTGGCGTGCTAGACCCTTTCGGTTTTGGTTTTGCTTCTTTTTTCCGAAATAACTCCCCCTGGGGCTTCGGCCCGTCCCGCTGGCCACCCAGAAAGATCTTCCAAATTGCCCAGAGATGGTTGCCAAAGATTTGTCCTGCTCCAGACGGCTCCAAGACGGCCCAAGATGGCCTCCAAGACGCCTCCAAGACGGCCAACATGGCCTCCAAGAGGGCTCAGATGGCCCCAAGATGCCTCCAAGATGGCCCAAAATGCCTCCAAGACGGCCTAAGGTAGCCTCAAAATGGTTCAAGACGGCCCAAGAGGCCCCCAAGAGCCCCCCCAAGACGCCTCCAAGAGGTCCTCCAGGAGGGGCCGAAGAGGCCAAAATCAGTGATTGTCGTTAGGTTTTTGAAGGATTTTGGAATTTGCTTTCCGACGGCCCAAGACGGCCCAAGAGGCCCCCAAGATCGCCCCAAGATCGCCCAAGAGGCCTCCAAGAAGGCCCCATGACGGCCCAAGAGGCCCCCAAGACGGCCCCAAGAGGGCCCCAAGACGGCCCAAGAGCCCTCCAAGACGCCCAAGACGGCCTCCAAGACGGCCCCGAAGCGCCCCAAGAGGGCCCCAAGCCGGTTCAGAGAGGCCCCCAAGACGGCTCCCGACGGCGTTAGATGGGCCAGGAACGCCCTAAGACGGCCAAAGAGGCCCCCCCGAGAAGTCCCAAAAAGGCCCCAAGAGGCCCTCAAGAGGCTCCAAGAGAGCCCAAGATAGCACCAACATGGCCTCCAAGACAGTCCCAAGATGGCCCAATCGAGCCCAAGAGTGCCTCAAGAGCCTCCGAAGAAGCATCCTCCCCCTTCTCCTTTTTCCTCCTTCTCCTCCTCTTCCTCTTCCTCCCCCACGTGTTCCCCAAAGGCCTTCCAAACCGATTCGGGGAACACATGATCCGATAGCTTCGCCCCCCAAGATTCCTCCAAGACTGCCCAAGCTGCCTCCAAGACGGCCTAACATGGCGTCAATATTACCCAAGACGGCCCAAGAGGCCCCGAAGAAGCCTCCAAGACGGCCCAAGAGGCCTCCAAGAGGTCATCCAGGAGGACCAGAAGAGACCAAAATCAGTCATTTTCCCTAAGTGTTTGAAGGATGTTGAGAGGCCTCCTCCTCCCTTCTCCTTCTTCCTCCCTCTCCTCCCCTTACTCCTTCCCCACCATGTTCCCCGAACGATTTCCAAACCGATTTGGGGAACACATGGTCCGATAGCTTGGCAGGCCTCTGGCCACAACGTTCGGCCACATAGGCGCTTCCGAAAGGGCAGGGGACGGCGGTGATTCGCCATAGGCGTGTTCGATAATCCATCCTTTCCACATGCATCTTGTCATCCTCCTACGCCTCCTCCTCCTCCTCCTCCGCCTCCTCCTCCTCCCCACCTCATCGACTTCCTCCTCCTCCACTCCCCTTCGACAATCACCTTGTCGTCTTCGGCAACCGAATGTCACCCCTGTGTCTCATTCACTTCAGCTTTGTGCAACATATGTGGCGCAAACTGCGTGACTCGATCTGTGTGGTGCAATATGTGTGTTGTGCCATGCCTTGCTTACCTTGCAACGCTGCAGCCTTGCTACATAGCTTCCCCAAGCGCGGTGACCGATATGCGCGGCAGCGCAACTGGATACGAAGTTGTCCGGACGGAAAAGCTGGCCAAAAGGTCCAGCACGGACGCTGTCCATGGTGCCTGGCTCCAAATCCATCAACACGGCGCGCGGTACATAACGGCCCCCTGTGGCCTCATTGTAGTAGACGTTGATGCGCTCGAGCTGGAGGTCGGAATCTCCATGATAGGTGCCTGTAGGATCTATACCATGTTCATCAGAAATGACTTCCCAGAACTTTGCCTGCGGGTCCCAAGAATATACACCACCACCACCACCACGTCGATTCCTTCTCCCTCCTCTACCCGCCTCTTGCTCTCCTCTTTCCTGGGAGAGGGATGGGGTGAAGGAGCTGGTGGTGATGTGTATTATTGGGCCCCGTATGGCCCCGATCTGGTTGCCGCACTGGCCACCCTGGATGTGCACCAACTCGCGCATGGCTGCTTATCGGAGGAAGCTGACTTCCGATTGTTCGGATGACTTCAGGCGTAGAACACTCGCTCGGGCCAAAATGGATACAGCCACAGCATTGGCAAAAATAAGAATGATAACAATAATAATAATAATAATGAGAGTGGATTCAAAAAGATGGTGCCAGTGCGTAGAACAAAACATTGAACATGCGCAACCCGCAGGGCAAAATACGGGGTGCCGTCGACGCAATGCAATCCATTCGGTCGAACTGGGGGCGCCAGCTCCAATGATCGAACGAACATCCCACCCACCCACCAGCAACAGATAAAACTCCAGAGAGCGTGGGCGATGCTACTCATCAGGGCTGGCTCGCAAATCTCAAAAAGCGCAGTACCATCCGGACCCTGCTCATGAAGATCCGTGAAGCGGGCGGGCGACGGCTCATGGTGACGACGACACCAGCGACAGAGACGATATTGATGATGGTGACGGTGGTAGCGAGGATGACGAAGGCGACAACAACGACAATGACGATGGCGATGATGAGGAGGACTTCGCTTTGATGATGATGGCGATGACCACTGACGTGGTCCAGCGCTTGACGATGACGATAACGAATGGGACGACGCAGATGGTGACAGCGTGCGGGCGGACAGAAATTATGAATGCTTAGCAAGCTTGTAACTGAAGCCCGCGGAATGTTCAGATCCTGTTGCAGAACTCACTCTCGATCAAGCCCCTACCACAGAAATTGGTTTTGGAGGGAGCTCGACGTGCGCGCGCGGAGACGCGCGCGCGCGTGGCCCGTGTGGGAGTTAACAATGTTGGAGGGCACGCGATGGCATGTAAACGCGTTCAATAAGTGCTCGTGCGTCGCCTGCATGATGCAATTCGCCACAATGGGAAAATGGACCCCTTCACATGTCAACGAGCGCGCGCAGAAATATGTCAGAGTTATTTCTTGTCCGTAACGAATGGCGTATTCTAGTATTCGATGAACTTGTTTTGTATGTTCTGGTGGATGTTTGAAAGGATTCGGCACGCGGGCGCGGCGGCGCGCGCATGTGGCCATCATGGTGTGTGTTGCGAAGGGCCCTTCGAGAAACGACTTGTTAGATCAACGCTTGTGCACCACTGGATTCTTTGACAGAAGTGAAAGGGGGGTCGGTAGTGGGCCTGGCTGGCATAAAAGAAGCGTTGTCCAATACTACTTGTGAAACTCAGGGCATGTCGTATACCAACAAATCATCCGCCACCGTGCCTTCAGCACGCAGCGGAGTACCTCAAGGCTCATGCAGCTCTTAAAGGTCATGCATCTCTGAAAGGTTCGTAAGGTTCGTAAGGGCCCAGACCACGAAAGTCCCGGCCGCTCTTGGGCACGGCAAGGCGCTCTGAGAGTATTCCGCAAAGACATTTAAGACGGTGCCCCCAGCCAGGGACGCCCCAAAACAGGCCGAGACAGCCCTAAGATGGTCCCAGGAGGATCCAAAAGGCCTCCGAACGAACGAACGAGCGAAGCTGACGTCGCAGGGAAACCGGCGCCCCGGCAAAGGGGGGCAGGCGCGATGGTCGCGCGCGTGCCTTCCAAGAAGGCCACTGGATGTGTGATTGCGCCAAAACCAAATGAAACCCGAAACATGTGCACGAGAAGCCGCGCGGTCATCTCCATGCGCGCTGCAGAACATCCCGATCATTCTCCTGCCAGGCACTATCACTCGATGCCTCGTGCGCCCACGAGTCCCAGCCAGCATGTTCTGTATGTGACACCAACTCATTTTCCCATCTGCTGAACCAGCCAGGCCCGGAGCGAATTGGGCATCCGAGTGTCCCCTTTGCTTGTTCGTCCCACAAGGCATGATCCCTCCATTGAGTCACACTTTTGGCCAATCGTGCATCTGGCATGTTGATAATATTCCCTGTCAACTTCCACTTTGATGTTAAATACTTGTCCACCCAACATGAAAATCCGACATTGCAGCTGACCAGCGGGCACTCCTGTCCAGATAACTGTACCTTCTTGTTTGGGGGAGCAAAATTCCAGCACGAAATGAAATGATGAAAAACAAAAACAAACAGCAACAAAAAACTGGGCTCCAATGGGGGAAAAGATGGCCCTTTGCAGATATGAGAGAGCATGATCCACCGCCGCTTTAGCAGAAAATTCCCCCCCCCCTTCCTCCGGAACCCGGGGGTCCCTACCCCCCACTCCGAACCCCCCGCCTGCTCGAACCCCCCGTCCTCACCCCCCCTTTCCCCTGGCACCCCCCTCCCTCTAACCCCCCCCCCCCCCTCCCCCTTCTCTGGAAAACCGAGGGGGTTCCTTACCAGTTCGAACCCCCATTTCTTTCTCCAGAAAACCGGAGGGGGGGTCACTACCTGTTCGACCCCCCCCCCGCCGCCGGCAAAAGACTCCCAGGTCCCCGGGTCCCCACCACTGTCCTCACCACCGCCCTCACCACTGTCCCCACCACCACCGTTCCCACCACTGTCCCACTGTCCCCACTGTTCCCACCACTGTCCCCACTGTCCCCACCGATGCCCCCACCACGTTGTGGATCCGCACCTTCCTGGGCAGGTCGAGGGGCTCCCGCCCGTGACCACCTTCCCCCCCAGTGGCCCTGGAGACCTGCAGGAGCACGAACGCTGCCTCTTGGAAGCTTACTCGAGCCCATGTCTCGGGGTATCTGTGCGAAGCCTCCAGGGGCCTACTGACAGCATTTTCAGGGACCCCTTGGGGGCGTCTGGGGTCCTCTTTGGTTGTCTTCTCTGCAGGCGCGATGGCAAGGTGACAGGGGCACGAGGCGGTCAAACAATTCGGCCACCCCGAGCCAAGATGTGTTGTACAAGTGAACAGCCACAGGTCAGCGTGGAAAATACGCCGATCTGCTGCGTGCAAGCACGCAAGTCTTTGGAGAAGGTCGTGGAAGCACGCCGTTCTCAACGAGAGTGCGACTCCTCGGTTCCCTCGTGCAGCTGCTCAGTAGCAGCCTGCTCAGAACTCGTCGCCGTAGCCCTCTTCCTCGCCCTCGCCCTCTGCGGTCTCGATGCCCACCTCCTCGTAGTCCTTCTCCAGCGCCGCCAGGTCCTCGCGAGCCTCGGAGAACTCGCCCTCCTCCATACCCTCGCCCACATACCAGTGCACGAACGCGCGCTTCGAGTACATGAGGTCGAACTTGTGGTCGATGCGCGAGAAGACCTCTGCGATGGCGGTGGAGTTGCTGATCATGCAGCAGGCGCGCATGACTTTGGCCAGGTCGCCACCAGGGACTACTGTGGGAGGCTGATAGTTGATGCCGCACTTGAAGCCCGTGGGGCACCAATCAACGAATTGAATGGTGCGCTTGGTCTTTATAGTAGCTACAGCAGCGTTCACATCTTTGGGCACTACGTCTCCGCGGTACATCATACAGCATGCCATGTACTTGCCATGACGAGGGTCGCACTTCACGAACATGGATGCGGGCTCGAAGACGGACATGGTGATCTCCGCCACTGACAGCTGTTCATGGTACGCCTTCTCCGCAGAGATAACGGGTGCATAGCTGGAGAGCATGAAGTGGATGCGTGGATAGGGCACCAAGTTCGTCTGGAACTCGGTGATGTCCACGTTCAGAGCACCGTCGAAGCGCAACGACGCAGTCAGCGATGAGATGATCTGCGCCAGCAGCCTGTTCAGGTTGGTGTAAGTAGGGCGCTCGATGTCAAGGTTGCGGCGGCATATATCGTACAGTGCCTCGTTGTCATACATGGGAAAACCAAGCCAGCGAAACTGGCCTCAGCATGCCGCGGCACGCTGGTGGCTTGTTTGACGGCACAAGCCTAAGCCGGGTGGAATTTCTGCCTCAACCTGCAGGCCGGCTGAAAATGCTCAGCCCTCCAGCTGCCTCCTCCTCCTCCACCTCCTCCAAATCCCCGCCGCCTCGCCCTCCTCCTCTTCCTCCTCCTCCCCACGTTGTCATACATGATGGTGACATCTGTGTGCTCCAGGAGGGAATGCACGCAGAGAACAGTGTTGTAGGGCTCCACCACTGCTGTGGCGACCTGCGGGCACGCCCACACAGTGAAAGAGCACTTCGTCTTCTTCCCGTAGTCCACGGACAAGCGCTCCAGCATCAGGCAACCGAGCCCAGAGCCAGTGCCTCCGCCGACGGCATTGTAGATCATGAAGCCCTGGAGGCCAGTGCAGTTGTCGGCCAACTTCCTGATCCGATCCAGGACGAGGTCGACGATCTCCTTGCCGATGGTGTAGTGCCCTCGCGCGAAGTTGTTCGCGGCGTCCTCCTTGCCAGAGATGAGCTGCTCAGGGTGGAACAGCTGACGGTAGGTACCCGTGCGTACTTCATCGACCACGGTGGGCTCTAGATCGACCATCACACAGCGGGGGACGTGCTTGCCGGCGCCAGTCTCGGAGAAGAACGTGTTGAAGGCATCGTCGCCGCCTCCGATCGTCTTATCAGAGGGCATCTGGCCGTCAGGCTGGATACCGTGCTCAAGGCAGAAAAGCTCCCAGCATGCATTGCCAATCTGCACACCCGCCTGCCCAATGTGGATGCAGATCGCCTCACGCATTGTCTTGGATGGGCTTCTTGATCGAGTTGAAGTCTGGCAGGGGGTGACAACTAACAAAGCCGCCGCGTGATGTGACAGCCTCGATCGGAATCGCTTGAGCCAAAATGGCGACGGAGGGACGTGCGGGGGCCTCTTGGGGTCCCTTCGCGTTTCTTCGGGGCCTCTTGGGGGCCTCCTGGCAGTCTCGGTGCCTGTCTTGGCGTTCTCTTGGACCCCTCTGGGCCGCCATGGAAGTCTCTGAGGCAATATTGGGGGCTTTCTGGGCTGTCCCTGGGCTCTCTCTGGGCTTCTACGGGCCCTCTTGGGGGCTTCTGGTCATTTTGGAGCGCTGGGAACTCGAAAGGCAAGGACGTCAAATCTTCCATAAACATGAGGGAAGTCCGTGTCGAGCTCTGGGATCAAGGCAACTCGTCGGGGCATCGTTTCTGGATGGGCTGGTGGGGTTACGCGAAGCGACAACAACAACAACAACAACAACAGCAACAACAACAGCAACAACAACAGCAACAACAACAACAGCAACAACAACAACAACAACAACAACACCAACAACAACAACAACAACAACAACAACAGCAGCAACAGCAGCAGCAACAACAACAACAACAACCACAAAAACAACAACAACAACAAGAAGAAGAACAATAACAACAACAACAACAACAACAACAACAACAACAACAACAACAACAACAACAACAACAACAACAACAACAATTACTAGCACGTGGGGACACTCCGTTCTCACCAGTGCCAGGGTTTTCATACGACGCCCGCCAATACCCCCACTTTGTGGGGGGGCCGGTTCAAGCTCTACCACATTTCCAAACGACTCTTCGCCACCACCCACACCCAGCTTCCCGCCCTATGACGTTCGG